AATGCTAAAGAATATATATTTAAAATTTAAAGAAAGGTTTATATGTATATTTTTAAATAAATTTAATTTAAATGATTGTTGCGGCTGAAGCTGGAAATGGCTGAAGCTGGAAATTTTAAATATTTTATTATGAAATTTTCAAAATTTTTTTGGGGTGTCAACTCATTTGATTTATAAATAACAGCACTTAGGTAGGATATATCCTATGACTGTTACCCTTTAATCATATAATAATATAATATGCTGATTGATTATTAACAAATGTTAAGATAAACTAGGAATCAGAAACTGATATAAGTTCAGAGTATAAAAACAACTCTACTATTTAATGTATTTTTGGATACTAAACAAATTTTATTAGTACATTAAATTAGAATTAATTAATAAAATTTTGAAAATTTAAGATTTTATAGAATTTTATTAATAAAATTTTACAAACTCTTAAATTTCTCAAGATTTTATTAATTAATTCTAACTTAATGCACTAATAAAATTTGTTCAACATCTAAAACTATATTTAACTGGTAGAGTTGTTTTATTTTACTTAAAAGTTTGAGAAAAGATGCTTAATTTTGATATTTTGATCAGAAAATCAAAATTAAGCATCTTTTCTCAAACTTCATAATCGCTGAAAAATTTCTTGCCCATGTTCAAGTAAGTTCTATAATTAATTAATTATCGTTATATTTTTTTTTTTTAATATTAAATTTTTTAAATTTTTTAAAGGTTGATACCATAAATATGACGGCCATACCAGATGGTGAATTTAAATATATTATACATATACGCGATCATTTCACAAGGTTTTCTGCAGCAGAACCTGCAAAAACAAAATCTGCAATTGAAACAGCCTGTTTTCTTTTGCAATTTTGTTTAAAATATGGACCACCATCCGTTTTACACTTAGAGAATTTGTTGGTAACGTCGTAAAAGAAACTATGAATCTCTGGCCATCTGTCAAATTTATACATGGACGACCAAGATACCCCCAATGTCAAGGATCCGTTGAGAAAGGTAATGATATTTTACAAACAAAGCTTGGATCGTGGATGGATGAAACTAAGCGAAATGACTGGAGTACCGGATTGCCATTTGTAATCTGTAAGTAAATTTTTTTTTTTTATGATATCTGCAAGTAAATTAAGTATTAATTAATTATACATATTGATGCATACGTATATTGCTGCAGGGGCCATGAACAATCAAGTTTGTAATGCAACAAAAACAACGCCGTATAAGCTAGTATTTGGTCAGGATCCCCAGGCCAATTTACAATGCTTTATCAACAAAATATCGTCAAGGAAGAAAATATTCCGTTAGAAAATCAAGCACCAACTGATCAGTCAAATTTAATAACTAATAATTATCGTATTAAATTTTTTTTACTTTATAATTTTTTATTAAATATGTAATATAATTTAATTATAATTTAATTAATTTTTAAAAAATTTTTTATTTGCAGAAAGTGATACGAATATGATAATAATAAATGATGATAGCGATACTAGTAATGAATATGATCTTGGTTCTAGCATTTCAAATGAAGATAAAATGCTTATATCACGAGAAAATAGTTTTATGAACACCGACGTTGATGTACCTGTACAACAAAATTCATGGATAGAAAAGGAAAAATGGCGTCCATCAAATCTAGATAATGTAAATTTAAATTATTTATATTATCGTTATATATAAATTATACAAAAAAAAATGTACCTATCTAAAAATAAATTATTATAAATTTTATAATAATCTATTTTTAGATAGGTATATATTTTTTTGACGACACTTATATTAATACATATTAACGTTTAATTAATTTTAATATACTTTAGCACGAAGTAGTAGATTTAACTCAAGAAGGTTCATTATTTGAAGATTCAAGTCAGGCAAGCTGTTCTTATACATTAATTGACGAATCAGACCAGGAAGGTTATTTACCAACTGAAGATTCAAATAAAGAAAGTCAAACATCGATTAAAAGCCAATCACGTGCATACCTTGACCATCACAAGCCTATACGTGATATAGCAAAGCAACATGTTGAAAAAAATCGTCAAATTATTCGTGATATTATGGAAAAACGTCATAAAACTAAACGTCGCTTAATTTTTAGTCCAGGAGACTTTATTAAAGTTAGCGTTAGAGTTCCAGATATTGATAAGCTAAAAATGGACAGACGTTCTTTGCCTTATAAAGTTATTCAAAAAAAGCACAATCTTGATTCCTATCAGGTTGGATGTGAATTCGGAATTTTAGATACGTGGTTTTCAGCCAATGAATTGGAACCCTTAGGTATATTGTAATTAGAAATTGGGGTTATATTGATTTAAGGATTCAAATTTAATTTATTTTTTTTTTTTACCTACAACAGGTACAAATGAATATTCATCACTTGATATTATTCCACTTGGCAAGTTTATCTCTTTACGGAATGCAGCTGCGCAGCAAAATTTAACACGCCCAATACGACAAGTACAAGGTATTGAAGATGATCCACTTATCCAATCTCAAACAAATAATCAAGCAAAGGAAAGAAAATCTAAAAATGATGGTTGCCATTGTAGTAAAACCAACTGTAAAACCAAAAGTTGTTCATGCCGAAAAAATAATGCACTTTGTACCAGGCGCTGTGGTTGTGTATTGAGAGGTGAATGCAATAATCATTAATCATAGCCAGTATCGGCATAGATATATTTGATGCTTTGCGTATTGTATTGCACAGATATATTTGATGCTTTGATGCATAATTTATTTTTTTCGCGTATTTAATTAATGTATAATTGATTTTTTTTCATTTATTTTAATTTTTTTTTAAAATTTTATAAAATAAGTATATACGTAATATATGTGTAGTCGGTATATCGCATACCGATTATTATTCGATATATGTTAAATTGCAATTTTAAATTAACATGTGTTATTCGGCATTTTCTATGTATCGGATTTTGCAATTACAAACTGTTATCCGGCATTTGAAATTTTATCATTTTTA